CATAGGGCAAGGTACGTGGGCAAGGGCGCACAGCTTCCATGCTCTGTCCGGGCACGCCACTCTCCCAGCACCTCCACGTGTCCACCAGCCTGGAAGCTCTCCGAGTCTCATATTTTTGGGATTTTATGGAGGCCTCATCACGTAGGCATGCTTGGTCATTAAATCCATCTTCAACCCTTCTCCCTCCTCAGGAGAATGGGAGTTGGGGCTGAAAATTCTAAGCTTCTATTCATGGCTTGGTCTTTCTGGTGAGCAGCCCTCATTCAGGAGCCATCCCGGAACCCACTGAAAGTCACCTCATTAGAACAAAGACACTTCTATCACCCAGGTAATTACAAGGCTTTCAGGAGTGTCAGCAACAGAGGTCAAAGGCCAATATTAGGACAAGAGATGCTCCTCATGTTCTTATCACTTAGGAAAGTACAAGAGTTTTAGGAGTTCAGTGCCAGGAACTGGGGACAGAGACCAATATATATTTTCTATTATTTCACAACTTTCATAATGATTAAAATTAGGGCCAGCCCCATGGCCTAGTGCTGAAGTGTATGCAGCGCACTCTGCTTCAGCAGCCTGGGTTTGGTTCCCACCCGTCAGTGGCCATGCTGTGGCAACGACCCACATACAAAATAGAGGAAGATTGGCACAGATGATAGCACAGGGCGAATTTTCCTCAGCAAAAAGATAAAAAATAAAATTAAAATTAGAACTTGCTGTGTAGTGAGAAGCTTATAGCTCTGTAGGAACGTACAGAGCCACCAAATATTTTATTAAATTGCTTATGTAAGGATATTCCTGCAGGGGGAAGGCAGGTCAGACTACAGAGTTTCCTTAAGAAGCTGCCAACACACCTTGGACTCAAATGATAAGGCTCCTGCACATTCTCTGAGGCCAGGATTGGGAAAATTGCAGAGTGTTTCAGCAGGCAAGTGGGGAAACTGATGTCTTCATATAACATACATTCAAAAGTGGAAGTTCTCTAGGGGTTTTTCTGAAACTACTATTAGAGCTATAACTTCTCTCCCTCCCTAAATAGCCCACTTTAAAAAGTTCATCAGCCAAGGTGAATGTCAGTGAATGAATGGTTGTGTATCTGTGAATGAAATGATGATTATCTGTTAAATTGAGTTTTATACCCGTTAGCCAATATTCAGTTTTCCTCCTCAGGATCTGGGATGGCAAAGGTTTTAATTGCCTGATTTGGTGGCCTTGTCTCTGTGTCACTAACTGCTGAAGTGTCTGCCTCCAGCACAGGTAGCTGCACTAATGGCTGGAGCCACAAACATCTCTGATCCCACTGGTGGCATCTTCTTAACCTGAATGCACATTTCCACAGAGACGTGATCAAATAGCTGCATTTTATAGTATGATTAGAAAGAAACTTGAGCACTGAGTATGCAAACGGACAATGGCCAGATCATATACAAGAATAGGACTTCTGACCCATAACCAGCATCAACCTGCCCAAGAAACCAACCCTTTCACTCCAATAAACAAGTCGGGAAGCTAGCCTGCCATGTCAGACTTTCAGGAAGCCAGAGGTTATCTCTAGTGACAATCCAGGAAGCTGAACAGTAACTTCTGTAACAATGGGCCCCAAATGGTCAGGACTTAATAAAGCTTCCCTAATTTTTGTCCCCAATTCCAACTTAGGACCAACCACAGAAGGTCAAACATGTACCCCCAACCAAGCCCATAGGATATTGGCCACCTATGCCTTCCCCAGGACAAAGCCCCCCATCAAGCCGTACCTGAAGCCATCCTTTCTTCCACTCTGAAGCTTTCCCTGCCTCTGCCTGCCTTTGAGTCTTCGCCAAAACACAAGTGATGGTGGCTGACTCCCTTGCTATGTAGCCACTACAGAATAAACAGTCCTGTCTCCTCCTTTGGTTGGTCTTTATTTCCACAGCAATGTGGTTTAAACCAGCTTTGCAGGCCCATTAGTTTCCGAATCATCCAACCATCATTCATTCATTCATTTATCCATTTATTGAAGAAACATATAAAAGCTTTAACATGAGCCACATTTCCTTGCCAGGTGCAGGGGAAAATGAAAAAACACACGATATAGTCCCTACCCTAGAGGATGGTAGCTTGACAACTAAGGAGAATAACGTGAATGACCCAGCAACCAAGCTGATGGGCATTAGTGTGCTGGGGTAGCATCTTCCAAAAGGTGATATGCTAACTACTGGTGACATGGGATAACTTCCAGGAAATTATAAATGGCTGAACATTTTTACTTTAATAGTTGTAAACTTGAATGCAGATTAGAAAAAGATGCATTTTAAGTCCACCAAATCCATGATTTCACACATATTACTGCTTTACAGGGAGTCTGTATCAGTCAAAATTTAGTCAGGAGATAAAAGCCACCCTTACTTTAACAGGGGAAATTCAATATAAAGAATTGTTAATTGGGCATTAAAGGCAATTACAGAAGGGCAAAAAGGGAATACTCAAGGTATCATGCAGGAAGCTGCCACTCTTAAGGAAGAGGTTAAAATTGTTCAATTCTAGAAACCCGGAGGGGCCCTGGAGGGCTGAAACTCAAGACCTCTGGCGAGAAGTTGCTGCTTAGTTAAAACCAGTGTCTTCGAGCTGAGTGGGGGGCCTGTGGGCCAGGGTGCTAGGCAGACGTTTGAAGAGGGAGCCCCAAATGGTAGCAATGACTGTTACTGAACACCAGCCTCTGCTGGGGTGAAGAGGTGTTTCGGGGGTGACAAAGAAATAGGAAGCAGGCAGAAAGGACCAAACCCCTCCTTCCTCCTCTAGCCCTGCCATCTCCCTCTGGGCCTCTGAGGGCAGATCCTAATAAGCAGCCAGCTTGCAGAGGACAAATGGGGTTTGCTGAGTGCCAGCCCAGCACCAAATGCTGAGTATAGAAGGGTGTTTGAATCTGAGAAACAATAGCTTAATATCTGCTACAGTCTGCTCCTTGGGCCATTCAGGACACCCCCAAAACCTCCCGCTTCTAAACTTCCCACAAGAAAAATAACTCTTTATTTCTACTTAAATTGCAAACACGCTTTGTACAAAAGATTTTCTCTCTTTCTCCAAAACAAGACTAAATTCCCAGGAAACATTGTATCCGTTTGTGGGAGACAGTCACCCTATTCATCTCATCTCCTGACAAGATGTTAATTATATCTAGAATTTAGTCACAGACCTATCTGAATACTCTGTTATCTCAAGACTATTTAGCAAATTTAACCCTCTAAAAAAGGTATTAAATAGTAACAGGAAGAAGGAGAGGGCAGAAAGTAGTATGCACACACACACCCCCCAAGGAGGAAAATATACCTAACTGCTCAGTAACTTGTTTCTGTAATTGGTCACAAGGCTGTAGTTAATAAACTCCATTCTTCCTCTACACATTCCATGTTTCCTCTTCCCTCAGCCAGCATCTCAGCTGCCCAGGGTTTATACCTGGCAGGACGGCCCAAAACTTCGTTGCCTAAAGGGTCAAATCATTTTCACTTCCTTGATGTTATAGATTTCAATTAAAATTTATCACTGGACATGGAAATGCTAAAAAATGCCCTAACTGCCCTGGGTTCCAGATACCCTTCTCCATCACCCACTGTGTAGGAACAACACAAATGCGCCTTTGTTCCCAAGATCACATGCACCAGCCGGGAGAGTAAACTCCTTCTTTGTGGGCTGGTTTAGTGGTAATACGCCCAGATTGTTTTAATTTCTGCCTTAATGGAACCATTGTTGTGTTCCCTGGTGGGAGCACTTCTTCCTCGGGAACCCAGACCTCCAAACAGAGCTCAAAATTGAGGGATAGGAAGCAAAACTTCTGGGAGTGGGTTACTGGGTTTAACAGTGAGAGGAACCACACTATATCTACCTCTGCTTGATTTCAGACCATACATTCTGACTACGAAAGCAACAGCCCCATTGAATGGGCACTGATTCAAAGCATAAATTTCATTTTGTAAGACGGAGTGTTATATCCCACCTAGGGCCATAACTGCGAATTCAGTAGACCATTCTACCATTCGATTATGCCTGTTGCTCCTGGGTGATGGGGTAAGTGCTAGGATCAGTGAATTCCAGAGACATAAGCCCATTGCCCCACTACTTCTGTGAAATGGGCTTGTCTGTCGGAAGAAATGCTGTGCGGAATATCATGAGAGTGATTAACACTCCGTGAATCCATGGATTGTGGTGCTGCTAAAGCACTGGGAAGAACTTCCAGCTTCTGCCCCAGAACGTAGAGCTGGAAGAGGTTGCTTTCACTTTTACAATGAAAAAGAGCCAGGTTAACATCAAATTCACGACTTTTTTTGTAACCACGAGAGAGCTAAGGTCACAAAGCAATCGAAATCTAAGGAGATTGAGAGAGAGGAGACATACATCTCATTTAGTGGCTAGGAACAAAATCAAATGAAATCAGTATTTCTTAGTTCTAGGTACGTATCTCCAGACAGACAGACACACACATACACACTTAACTCTAAGTGCTTCTGTACTTAGTAGTTAGAATAAGGTTCATCAGACTAGGGGATGGGCTGGTTGGTGTGAATTCTATTGAGGTGTACTATAAGAAATTAATAATTGTTTTTGCACACAAAAGGTAATTTCTCATGGTTCAACCTAATACATCACCATATTCTAAATTAATGGCTGGTTTTTAAAAGTTACGACTTGGGGCCGGCCCCGTGGCCGAATGGTTAAGTTCGCGCGCTCCGCTGTGGTGGCCCAGGGTTCGGATCTTGGGCATGGACATGGCACTGCTCGTCAGGTCATGTTGAGGCAGTGTCCCACATGCCACAACTAGAAGGACCCACAACTAGGATATACAACTATGTACAGGGGGGTTTGGGGAGATAAAGCAGAAAAAAAAAAAAAAAGATTGGCAACAGCTGTTAGCTCAGGTGCCAATCTTTAAAAAAAAAAAAGTTACTACTTGAATAAAAAGTTCCAATACTGAATTAGACTAAAATTATTATTTGAAAGTATAAGAGAACAGAGAAAGTACATGAAAACAGATATTTATTATAGAATAATTTTCTTTTTTTATTAATTAAAGGCTTTAAACAAAAAACCATAATTTCACAAACTGACAATGACTTGGTAGAATGCAAATACTTCAGGGTGGAGAGGCAGGGTTGTCCTTGATGAATTTACGTATAATCAATTCTCACAACATTTGATTCCAAAAAGTATGCATGAATTGGCTTGACATGATTAATAATTTAAATATAAACATAAGGCAATTTAAACATTGGTATTATGAGTCAATTCAAGGTCAAAGACTGGAGAGCTATATTAAAAAAAACCTGAGGTCAAAAAAAAATCTTTAGGAAACATGGACTATATTCCTATGTACATCTGAAGGTCTAGGGCTAAACATCCATTCGTGATGAACACCAGCAAGCAAAGGAGGCATAACAGCCACCACACAGCTGTTTCACAAACAGCGTGTTTCCAAAATTATACATTTCTTTACAAATAAACATTACAATATTAATAACTATGGAGAAACTATCAGAATGCGTTCCAAAATATGCTAACTTTCACGAGGCACCCCCGAGCCGTATCTTTAGGCATCCATTTCAGTCTTGGGGCTTTAAGAACATCTTCTTTGCTTTCATTGGTTTTATGTCTCCGTTTTCATCTTCTTCATAATTGGCACGGTCTCTTTTTTTGGCAAACTTTTTTCCAATTGTCCCCACCAGGGTCTCATATCTGTCAAGATGATATATAACACAAGTTTAATTTCAAATAAAAAAGGTAGGAATCAAGTCTTGTCAAGAACATCAAACTAAATACGCAACAAAGATAAGAAAAATCAAAACTATGATTAAAAGAAACTGCCTGATTTAAAAATTTACAAATTTCTCTACAAGTGATTAAATTCTTAACTGTTTTCTGTTTTTGCATTATCCTAAATAAACTGAGAGGTAAATTTTAAAATGTGTGTAAGAAGCAACACTGCAAATGAGCCCTCAACTGGCAGCCTGTGACAGGTGTAAACGCACCCCAGGTCACGTCAGAGAAAGCAGGTCATCGTCCTGCTGGGCACTCCCTTTACAGCTACTGCAGACTGTGGGGCAAGAGGAGCACGCTTTGGGAGGCCAGTGAAGGCTGCGCCCAGGTTGTAACGCTGTTCCAAGTAATGGTTACCTTCTGGCCATTTCTTCATCTGACACATCGAGCTCCACAGTTTCATCTTCAACTTCCTCTGCTTTGTTCTTACCATTCATCTGAAGCATTAATTTCTGAAAAGTACATCAATGCTGACTATTAGGGCTGGAAAGGGCTCGTTAAAGGAACTAGTGTTAATGTATTGGAAGGCAGAGAAACAGAAGTCACCGAATCTACAGGACTAGCCAAAATTTCTAAGAGATTCTCTGTAATACTTTATTCCGCAGTGTGCTAACAGAAGTCAGCTCTGAATTAAAATAATAAGATAAAGCCCCATTAGTTAATACTTACTGTTAATGAATTAAAATTGCATTTTAGATGATAAATCTTATCAGTTACTTACATATGAAGCAGGCACACTGCCGACACACTCTAGAGAGGGGGCCAAAGAAAAAGCAAGCTTTCAGATTCCCTCTCAATTTCCCATCTTCGAGTCAAGTGGAAGTAGTACCACAGTTCAAAGTAATTTTACATGGACTTTTTGGTTGGGGGGACAGCAAATCACTGGATGGAAGAACTGGAAGACTGGCCCCAGTATAATGAGAAGGGCCTGCCTCATCTTGAAACACAAAGGTGGATAACACATCTTGTCTGAGGTCCACGTGTCATGGGTCTCCCCTCTGTCTATTTTTCTCACATTAACCTTTTCTTGACAGTTACCCTCTGACAGACTTTTTTGTTTTTAATGTATAATACCTTCTTTATAGCAAAATGGGATGAGGAAGGGAAAGCGGAAGAGAAACCAGTATCGACTAGCTTTTCCAACGTTTAAAGGACTGTACCACAGTTACAGAATATTTATTGAATAAACTCACTCCATGTAGGTGTCAAACACATACAATATAAAAAATGTGTTCTAAGTACATCCTGTTTATAATAAAGTAACTGCTGTCAAGTTGTTATCACTCTTTTCATAACCAGATATACTGAACTTTTCTCACATTTTAAGGCAGCTCAGATCTGCAAGCCAAACAGTTAAAAACTTTCTCCCAGGAGAATGTATTCAGTGTTACAGAGTGCCAGTGACTAAAGCTATCTTCTCATGAGTGCCCACATCAAATTCTCAGGGCCACATCAACTCCTTTTCCCACATACCAGACATACTTTGGAGTGCTTGCCTAGCCACAACCCCAGTCTCTGGGTGTCACACACTCACACTTGTTGCTTTTTTCTCCCACTTTACCCCAGTGCCCTCTTTCCTCTTTTCAATCTAAAGCTTTAATGAGGCCGAAGCGGGGAAAGTATGTATTAAAAACAAACACTCTTAGTGTTGATTTTGTGTAAAGTAAATATAACAGGTTAATTATCATACCCCCTCAAAAATGGGAAAAAAAAGAAAATCAACCTATAAGCTTTAAGTAAACTCTGTCAATTAGCTTGGTTAATGGTGGCTCTCTACAGGTATCTTTAGAGAACTGATTTTCAACCAGGGACACTTTTGCCCACCAGGGACCTTTGGCAATGTCTGGATATATTTTTTGTTATCACAGCTGAGGGGTGTGTGTGTGTGTGTGTGTGTGTGTATGTGTGTAAGAGCATACACACATGTGTGCACTATTGGTATCTAGCAGGTAGGAGGTAGAGGCCAGGGATGCCACTAAACATCCTACGATGCACAGGACAGCCCCACCACAAAGAATTATTGGGCTCCAAATGTCAATAGTGCCAGGGCTGAGAAACCCTGGCTTCAGTGATAGTTGCAAAACTAAGGCTTTACAACATAAACCTCTATTTGTTTGGTTAAGTACTTGATAGGATGGCTTTTAATACATCGGCCAGAGTTCTAATAAATATTTGTTAAATGAAGGTCTGAGCTTCTCTATAAACCTGAGGTAGGAAAATTCAAATGAATAGCTCAGTTATAAGGTAAATATTTACTTTTCAAACAAACTTTCCAGAGGATTCATTTAAAAATCTATTTACAAGCTTGGATTAAAACCTGTCCATTAAAAAGTCAAATTACTCAATTTTTAAGTAAAATTTTTCCACTAGAAAAGATACATTTATAGATGCCAGAAAACAATTTTTCATAATAGCATTATATGAATAAAATACTGATGTTCTTGTAAAAGACCCGAGATGAAATTCTAACACTTCCAGTGGTGCTGTCAGGGACGGTATACCGCTCTATTAAATTGTCTACTCAATTCTACCATAAAACTAGACTGCAGCGCCTGCAATTTCTTTAAATAGCTATGGCGATATTTCAAGACTTGTTATTTTCTACATAATAAGGAGAAATGGCACCTGGTGGGAAAAAACCTAAACCCAATTATTAGCAGAAAGAATTCAACTGGAAAAACTTTAAATTTGAAGCAATTATATTTAATACCTCAACCTCAGGATTGAATCCTCTGAATGACATTCTTCCATAGAGAAGATCTTCACACAGTGAGAAACTTTGCTCTTCTATTATGAAACTCCTAAATGGGAAAATAAACCTATATTAATAGCATGTCTACTTATAACAAAGCACAGCCAATAAAACTCAAGATTTCAAATGAAAAATGAATCTTAGGGTTATCAAATACAGCAAGATTTCTAACTCAGGGTTAGAAATAAAAACCGATTAATTTGGCCAGCAAAGGCATTAGGAGACAAGAGCTGCAGGCTGGAGGCACAGTCTCTTATAAACACTACATTCGATTTGCATCAATGCCTACATAATGTAGACCTGAAGTATTTATAATAAACCTGAATCTTCCAAACCTGAAGCAAAGTTCCTCTGACATTTACACGTCTGACCAAGTTCTTATTAAATTTTCATTAAATATCCAGAAATGACAGTCCTGGGCAGCTTTAAGCGAGTGTATTAGTCAGAGCGCTTAGCTATAAACAATAAAGACTGACCCTAGATGCCTTAGCAGAGAAGGAATTTACTGGAAGGATACCAGGTATCTCATAGAATCACTGGGAAAGCTGGATGAGCACAACTGGAAAATGGACAGGGACATGGGTGGTAGGGGGTCGACTCAAAACCAAAATCACGCTACAAAACTGTCCCAGGAAAAATGACGCTGCTGCTGACAGGGCTAAACACTGGACACCGGACGGCACTGAGGAGGCCACTGTTGCCCTGGAAACAGGATGCAGGCGCAGATGTTTTGGTCTCCAAAACGGATTCTCTTGAGTCACCAGTGCCTGACTCCAGTCCCAGGTAAGCATATCTGACTACAGTCTAGCCATCAACCGGAAGTATGCTAGGAAAGCAAATACTTGCCCTCTATGGCTTCTTTCGCAGAAAGTTGGCTCTGCTTCTTGTCAAGATTCACTCATTCCTCCACTCACTCAGCCAACACTTACTAAACCCAACTGTGTACCAGGCACTGTTCTAAGAAGCTGAGGAGACAGCCACAAATAAGAGAGCCTCTGCTGTAAGAGATTACATTCTACAGAGTACTGCCAGATAATAATAAAAGATTTATACTATGCCATGGATAAAAATGAAGCAGGTTATTCCACTCCTGGCCATCAGGGAGTAACTGGTACCAAACCAGCTCTCCTACTGCAATCAACTATAAAACAGGATGAATAGGAAGCAACTATTTTCAGACAATTAACAACTCAAAGTTTAGGGCTGTGATGCCGAGAAGAAAACCAAATGAAGTGAGCCCCATGAATGTTTGCCTTCTGACTGGAGAAATTTCTAGACTGTGGAGCAGGGAACAGGAGCCCAAACAGAGTCCAGTCTCACTGAACTGAAGAGACAAACTGAAGCTCAGGGCTACAGAGGTGGCTGAAATATACGGGTCCAGATAACAGAGCAAAGGAGATAAGCAAAGGAATTCTGGGAGCTGCATATTGGGTCCTCTTGAATCTCTGGCCAGATATTAGGCTGTACCTGTGAAGGGTGAGTCCACAGTGTCAAGGGAAGAATAACGATTTTCCGGAGGAGAACAATTACCTGGTGCATTAGTTTCCTAGAGCTGCTGCAATAAATTACCACAAAATTGGTGGGTTAAAGCAACAGAAATTTATGTTCTCACAATTCTGGAAGCCTGAAATCAGTTTCACTGGAACAAACTCAAGGTGTAGGCAGGGCTGCACTCCCTCTGAAGGCTCTAGGAGAGAATTCAGTCCCTGCTTCTCCAGCCTCTGTTGACAGCAAGCATTCCTGGATTGTGATTGCATCACTCCAACTCTGCCTCCATGGACACGCTGCCTTCTCTGTGTGCATGGAACCTCTCTGCCTCCCTCTTATTTATTTATTTTATCTTCTGTGAGGAAGACTGGCCCTGAGCTAACATCTCTGCCCATCTTTCTCTACTTTATATGTGGGATGCCACCACAGTGTGGCTTGATGAGTGGTGTTAGGTCTGTGCCCGGGATCTGAACCTGCAAACCCCAGACTGCCGAAGTGGAGCATGTGAACTTACCTACTATGCCACAGGGCTGGCCCTGCCTCCCTTTTACAAGGATATATGTGATTGTACCTAGGGCCCACTCAGATAATCCAGAATAATCTCCCCACCTAAAGACCCTTAACTTAATCACATCAGCAAAGTCAACTTGGGCATATAAGGTAACACTCACAGGCTCCAGGGATGGAGGTCTAGATATTATCTGGGGGACCATTTCCCAGCTTATCATACCTGGGAACGAAAATTTACCCTGGAACTGTATGTTGAACAAATATAAGACCTTGCACAGATGAGGGAAACGTCTGAGTTGTGTTTACCGGAGTAGAGAGACCAAGGTGAACACCCTGACAGTGAAGAGAAAGGTCACAACTTAAGAGTAAGGCTAATCTACTCCTAGAGTGAAGGCTTTAAAATCTACCCTAACAAAAATGGATCAGGCTGATTGGCATGTAAATTAAGTGCCTAATGGAACAAAATTCAACACTTTATTAAGGAAGACAACAAAATCCAGGTACTCAGCAATATAATATACATAACGTGTAGCACACAATAAAAAATTACTAGACATGTAAGGAAGCAAGAAAATGTGACCCATAAACAGGAACAAAACAAATCAACAGAAAAAGAGAGATGACAGAATTAGTAGAAAAGGATTTTAAAACAAGCCATGCTGTGGTAGGCATCCCACATATAAAGTAGAGGAAGATGGGCACAGATGTTAGCTCAGGGTAAGTCTTCCTCAGAAAAAAGAGGAGGATTGGCAGCAGTTAGCTCAGGGCTAATCTTCCTCAAAAAAAAAAAAAAAAAAAAAATCTCAATGCAACAGAATGGAGCCCAGAAATAGATCTATACTAATATGACATAGTGATTTTTGACCAAAGCATCAAAATAATGCAATGACTGAAGAAAAATATTTTCAATAAACGGGACTGGGACAACCAGTTATCTATTAAAAAAATGAACTTTGATTCCTACCTCACACTATAGACAAAAAAATCAGAGATAGATGAAAATGTAAAAGCTAAACTTACCAAAATTCTAGAAGAAAACACAGAGAATATATTTGTAACCTTGGTAGACAGAACCAAGAAAGAACTAACTATAAAAGAAAAAAAAATTAATGAAACAAAATTAATAAAAACTACTGCTCATCAAAAGACAACATTAAGAAAATAAATAGGCAAGACTTGCACTGGGAGAAAATATTCACAATACATAAATCTGGCAAAGATTTGTATTAAGAATATAAAGAACTCCTATCTGTACAGAAGTATGTAATGTTTACCTCTAAAAACAAAAAAGAATCCTATATAAACACTGAATTCTATCTAGTTAATGATGTGCATGCTGAAGTGGTCAGGGATAGAACGTACTGATAGATGTATAGAAGGGGGAATAAATATCTGATAGGAAATGTTAAAAAAAAAAGATAAAACCACCTCATTTTTGAAAATGGGCGAAAGATCTGAATAGGGATTTCAGAAAGGTAGATATGGAAATGGCCAATAAGAACACAAGAGTTCTTTAACATTATTGTCACCAGGAAAACGCAAATTAAAAACCAAAATGAGACACCGTTAGAATGCTAGAACAGGTAAAATTAAAAAGATAACACAAAATATTGGCAGAACCACCAGAATGCTCACACTTCCTTAGTGAAAGTGTAAAATGGTTATAAGCACTTTGGAAACTGATCTGAAAGTTTCCTGTAAAGTTAAATATATGTCAATCAGATTCCACATTGCAGTTAACTTTTAAGAAACTACTACTTATTGAGTTTTGGAGTAGTACCAAAGAAGAATTATCCAAAAAAGCTACTACAATATTCTTCCCTTTTCAACTACATCATCCGTGTGAGGGTAGATTTTCTTTATATACTTCAACCAAAACAACATGCTATAATAGGCTGAATGCAAGAGTTAAGAGAATCCATCTGTCTTCTATTATGCCAGACATTAAAGAGATTTACAAAAACGTAAAACAAGACCACTCTTCTCCCAAATTTTTTTGTCTTGGAAAACAGTTACTCTTCATTCAAATGTGTTATTTATGCTAACATGTATGAGTTTATCTTTTAAATGAGTATTTTAACTTTAACTTCTCATATAGTAAATATCAACATGATATAAACCATACAAACAAAAGCCCTTTAGTTCACTGGCCCTCTAGTCTAGCTAGTACCTCACTTCCTTCAGGATCGCCTCTCCCTGAGGGAACCTAAATTCAGGCACACATTCTCCTGAACTTTTTGTACAGCCTTTTCCATAAATTTGGGATTCCCCCTTAACTGCTCAATCTTGTTTCCCGTAGAGTACAGCTCATAAAACCTCACCAATCCCCCAAGTAAATCACCTCCCTCAGGAAAGCAACACACATAAGCTGTTAAACAATCGCTTAAGACAAAAGATGGACCCATAGGACAGCGACCCCTAGAGGCCAGGGGTGGATTCAGAGCAAAACAAGAGGCCTCTCAGAGGGCTTTCCCATAGGTTTCCACTGAACACAATTATTTTAACATTAATAAAAAAAGGAGCATAGGTGTTTTCTTATCTAAGTGCATGGTTTCAATAATTAGGAGAATTAATTATAGTTAGCAAATAAGTGAAATATTTCAGAATTTAACTGTAAACATTTCTATATTTTAATTTCTCCATTTCATTAATGAAGATCCATAATTTTAGAGCTAGAACACATCCAGGAAATTATCTAGTTTATCTATTTTTCCAGATGAGAAACTACTGCTCAGAAAAAAATAAACAGACTTGCCTAAAGCCACAAATGACATGCATGGCAAGACCGGGCAAAAACTCGCTGCTGGGCAACCATTCTCTACATGTCTTGCATTTCTGCATTTCTTATGAAAGAGGTACTAATTGCCCGCTTACTCTGGACTGTCTTTTCAAGGATATGTGTATAGTGAACGGCTTTGAGAGATGTAGCTATTATCTTCCTCTAGAGCAACGGGTAGACTTGCTTAAGGCCCAGTATAATAAACATAATATCTCCCTTGGGGCCAAGAGCAAGTGTGCTTGCAGTTCAATATCAAAGACTCAGGTGTCCTAAGCTCTGGACTTGTTAGCTGTGATGCAAACCTACTAGGGTCGTCACATTCAGGTGGGCCTCAACACGTCATCTCCTGTGGGGTATAGGGGACAAGGGGGAAATGATGCAAACGTGATGCTCATGCTGCTTGCTGTGCTCTAATAAAGTTCTTTGTCTCTGACTCAGGCGTCTTGTACCTTCCAGCAGCACCCATGAAACTGTGCCAGGCTAACTTGTTAGTTTCTACATAGGGTACAATCTCAGATCTCATAGTTCGTGACATCCATCAGGCCACAATACACAAACACAAGAAGCACAGTAGCCAAAAATACTTTTTAAACAACATCCTATGGCAAAAGTAATTAAACTGGCTATATCACATACTCTATGCTGGGGCACATGCTTTGGAGAAAAACATGGTAACAACAGCAAAAACCTTTGAGCTGGTAAATTCATCCCTAGGAATTTATAGTAAGCATGTTACAGCAGGTCCCGTGGAAACAGACTCAGAGACACAGTTATGTACAGAAGTTTTATTGGGCAGTCCTGTTTGGGAGATGCGCCTCTATGGCAACGAGGACAGCAGGCTTGGGCAGAGCGAGTTGACCTGCAGTGTGGCTACGCTAAGGCCTCGGCCCCTATGAGGAGCTCTGGAGTTAGGAAAGCCCTGCAGTTGTTCCAAGTTGAGGCAAAGCAGCCAGACCCTCATCCCCCTACAAAGCACAGTCACCAGCTATGGGTGTCCCCTAGGGGAGGTATGAACACTGAATAGCCCTGAGCATCATCACTGAATTATAGCCTGGCTGAATGGCAACCTCTAGACTTCCAAAGCATATACACAATTAAATCGCCAATTTCACAGATAGCAGTAACCTTCTGGAATAATTCAGATGACACTACCAAGGAAAGATTCACAAATACAAATGAGCAAAAAAAAACCAGCGGGTGAATTTCATAATATTCAAGTATAAGGAAATACATACACTCCTAACATTTATTGTGCTTTATGACTGGCATTGTGGCAATTGCTTCATATATATTATCTCATTTGTTTCTCATAATGTGTGTGACAGGTGCTGTTATCATACTCAATATACAAATGACAAAAGACAGGTTAAGTAACTTGTCCAAGGTCACAAATAAGCAAGTGATAGATCTGAGTATCACGCTCAGGTCTGCCTTATCTCCAGAGCTCATAAAAGCTTAATTAACAAATCCATTCCACCGTCTCCCTATTTAGGGAGTTAAAACCCCACACCACAAGGACACAGCATTCATTTATGCTCCAGATCTACCTCAACCTGGCTCCCATCCTGTGGGATCACCTTGGGCTGCTGTGCTCTCAAATGAAGGCAGTGGCTCTTCTAAGATGCTGTCTCCAGATTCAGTAAGCACTCCCTCTGCTTGACCCCCCAGGCCTGGAGTGGAATTTACTCCCACTGCACAAGCCACCGAGCTCCTGCACTGTTCTTAGTGGCTTCCTTAGGCCCTGCCCACATGGTAGTCTCAGTTATACCCCCCTCAAATTACCCAATTTGACAGTGTCATCTCTTCTTGCCAACATCCTAAACTGACATTCATACCTATACATAAATAGGATGCTGAGTGACGGCAAAAGGTTATTACTTACTGTTATGGTCTGAATGTTTGTGTCCCCTGCGAATTCATATGTTGAAATCCTAACCCCCAAAGATGATGGTACTAGGTGAGGCCTTTGGGAGGTGCTTAACTCATGAATGGGATTAGTGCCTTATAAAAGAGACCCCACAGGGGCCAGTCCCGTGGCAGAGTGGTTAAGTTCGTGTGCTCTGCTTCAGCAGCCCAGGGTTTCGCCGGTTTCGATCCTGGGAGTGGACCCAGCATGGCTCATCAAGCCATGCTGAGGTGGCATCCCACATGAACAACTAGAAGGACCCACAACTAAAATACACAACTATGTATTGGGGGGGCTTTGTGGAGAAGTAAAAATAAAACCTAAAGAAAAAAGGAGCCCCCCCCCCCGCCCCACCCCAACGAGATCCTTAGCCACTTCTACCAGGTAAGGACATAGCAAGAAGGGTCACCAGCTACAAAGAAGTGCTCAGGAAAAGGGCCATTTTGGAACCTCAGATTTCCAGCCTCCCTTACTGTGAGAAATAAATTTCTGTTGTTTACAAGCTATGCAGTCTATGGTATTTTGCTATAGTGGCCTGAACAAACTGAGACATTTATCTCCCTAGGAATGGAATCGAAAAGTCATTTTTCTGGGAATAATAAGCTGTGTTGGGGGGTAAAAAAAAAAAGAATACTAAAAACAAGTGCCCTGCCTTTCAATAAAAGTAACAAAATATCTGGACTACAAAACATCTGGACTACTTTGTGTAAGCTTAGTCAAGGCACAGTTTAGTGCATTACTAGTAATGGTCCCTTCCTACATCACCCCACTCCCAGATAGATACCATCTTTGGCATTATCTTCCCCTTTCTCACTAAAATCTTGCTTCCTCTGAGAAGCAACAGAGATAACCAAGTACCTTCCTTCTATCCCTCCTGGTGGGACACACTTCTATCTTTAGAGAAGGATATCTAACCTTCTAAAAAGGATCCAGAAGAGGTCAGCCAAATGAATGACGGAATATAACATGTTAAAAACAAAAATAAATTTTAAGGTACAGAAAGGAAAAACATCAATGTGCCTGAAGATAATAAGTGGCATCTTTAGTCATTTGACAAGGTTTAATGAACACTACCAGACCAGACGGCTTAAGGTAAGAAGAGCACCAAGGAGAAATGATAAACAACTTCCAGAAGAACTTGGATAAATTTATGAATGATGAGAATCCATTACTCCTTCATTCCAAAGTACTTATCAAGTACCAACCAAGCTTAGAGGTGGAAGAGAAATGATCTAGTGTGCTATCCCAGCTTCAGCAATGCTTTGCTGGGTCATTGGTACCCTCTCTTAAGCTTCAATTTCCTCAACTATACAATGGATGGAATGATAGTAGCCAGCTCTCAAGTCTGCTATGAGGATTAAATAATTAAGACATGTAAAGTGCTTAGCCCAGTTCCTAGTACACACTGTAGATTCAATAAATAGCTAAGGCAATTGGTATTAATAGGAAAAATTTTAAAAAGAGAAACAGACCCAAAACTCCTGACTTGCTTTTAAAAGGCTCAGCCTAACGAAGAACTGTATTACTGAAACCAAACTGGAGAGGCCTGAAATACACACCTAATGTTCGGAACTTTAATATGATAGACAGCACACTACAGATTCTCATAAAAGGGCCCCAGTTATTACTAGAGATGTATGGGCTAGATTTCTTTATTCAATGTAAAAAAAGAACAATGTTATAAATGATGGCCAAGGGCCAGTTAAAATGCATAAATCCAAGTAGAACTCATGCAGGTTGAATAACTCAGAAAACTATTTGCAAGGCTAACTCAAGAATTGGAATAGATACTATTTCTCAGGCTCTGTCAGTGGAACGATGTATCACATTTACAGGGACCTCCCTCTGAATGCCAAAGTGTCATCAATATAATTTCTAATGAACCCACTCTTTCTCTTTCAGCTCCGGCAAATCCAAGTACCAGTGCTCTTCACTAATGATTTTCTTTTCTTCCTCTTCTAGTTGTTTCTTGGTTTCCAAGTCCAGCCCCCTTTGCATGAACTGTCAAAACAAAACAAAATCAGTGTCAGCAACTAATTTTCCCAACTTAGAGGTGAGGAAAATTCAAATAACTTTATTCTTCCACTTGCTGTCGCTCCAGGAATCCCATCTCATGATTGAGGGTGGGGGTGGGATGACCAAGCAGCTTAGCTCTGCCCTTACCAACATCCCACAAGACTAGGAGGGAACCTGCAAAGCACACAAAAAACTAATGTGTACTTCCTTTAAAATACTTCAAAAAGAGATTTATCATAACTTAGTTTTTCTGATTTAATAAAACAGGCAACAAAAAACTGTATTCAATAAGTATCACACTAAATATGTGATACAGAATGGCCAGGGAGGAAGGACTAAGACAAAGACTGATCCACAGATCAGGACAGGCAGGTAGAGACAGAAAGTGAGAGGAAAGAAAGGATGAGACTCAGTACTTTCTGAATCTCTCACTGACCCAGGGAGCTCACTGGTTTTTGCACCTGCTGATCTTGGTGTGCAATGCCCTTCTCGCCCTCTTCCACCCGGCCAACTCCTAACCCTTCTGACATAGCTAAAGCTACTCCACCTCGTGAAATCATCCTTGGTAGCTGCAGGCAAAATCAGCATCTCTCTCCTAGGCTTCCCGTGGTACCCTCAAACAGCCTCAGCACATTTTAATTTCTGGAGCATCTGTGTCTTCTGGAGGCCTTCAGGGCAGGGGCTGTGTCTGGATCGTCTCTTCCATCAGTAGCAGCGTGACGAATGATGCACAGTCAGGACTCTTTAAATGTAGACTGAAGTGAGGCTACCTCTATAAGCCTGCTCTTCATTTAACTATCCTCTGAAATGCTGACTAACTCCATGGCTGCTCTTTATTATAAAATCTTCAGAAGTGCCACTCAAAAGAGGCCAGTAGAGAAAACAGCAGTCCTGCTGCTAGTCTCTCCCCAGCACAAACAATAGCTCTACTTCCTCAGGAGACAGGAAAACAAATCAAGAAGTTCATCACAGCAAAATGATAAAGTATCAATAAAGGAGAAAATAAATCAGAAAACATCCAGAAGCCTCCCAGCAGTTAGGCCTTTTACCAGGGACTTAACTTTCAACCCCGGCACTGTTCAACAGCTTCCCCATCTTCACAAGATAAAAAAAAAAAATCCTTGCTCTGGCCTAAAATTCCTCGCATAGTTGTAACCACTGGCTACTTTTCCAGGCCCATTTCTTGCTACTTGCCTTCCAGACATACTGAATTATTTCACTTCTTGGAAATCTCACCGGATGTTTTGGGTTTTGCCTCTCAGACTTCTGAACTGTATTTTCCCTCTGTTTATGTCGCGATGCACGTCCCCGCCCCGCTGTGCACTTCCTTCACCTCAGGACCACTTCCCAAGGAAGTTCCCGGGGCTCCCGGGGCTTGCAGCTTTGCCACACTTAGTACGCTGCATCCTGCCTGCTTCCTGACGGGTCTGTCTCTCCCATCCGATCGTGGGCTTTGCGAGAGAAGCCCCCGGATTTATAATCCGGTTCCCAGCGCCTAACGCAGAGCAGGCGCTGAGTGAATGAATGAACGCCACCGCTGGAGGCTCCCCGGGGCCTCTCTGGTGCCCCCACGCGCCCGCCGCCTCAGCCCCGGCCAGCTCGGGAAGACTAGGTACCCCTGCCGCCCGGCCCGCCTCCCCCGAGTCCCCGCACCTTCATGCGCAGCAGGTTCTTGGACAACTTAGTCTTGCGCTCGGCCGCCATGCTGGCTTCCGCCCGCCGCCACCAGCCCCGCCGCGCATGCGCGCTGCTGCGTGCGCAGCGGCCGACGTCTTACGTAGCGTGCGTCGTCCCGCCCCGCGACTTCGCCTGAGTTTCTCCCTCCGGAGGAGAGCGTGGGTCGTTCTCGTGTCGCCGCGGGAAGAAGCTCGAGGTGAGGGCGCCGTCGCTAAAACAAGACCCCGACGAGGCCACTGGTGGAGGAGGCCCGTGTCCTGGCCGCTCCGAGCTGTGGTCCGCCTTCCCCGAGGGCTTAGACCGGACCTCTCAGGCGCCGCGCCGGGCAGGGCGGCCACCCGGACCTCGCCGTGCCGCGTCGCTGCCTCAGGCCTTATGGTGAGACCCTTGAGGCGGCTGCCCCCCGTCCCGCCTGGACTGTTCCTGACGTGATGGGTGGCAGGCTTCCAGCGTTCCGCGTCGCTTACGTGGGAGGGCTCGTTTGCTGTTCACGGTAACCCCGTGGGCCGTACTGTCCCCGTCCCCGTGTTGCAGTCGCGTAGACGGAGGCATAGGGCTTCCTGGACGAGCCGTAATCAGTGAGGGAGGGCGCCGCTCACCGGGCGGGCCGGTGTGGAAATCCAGCGGAAACCGTGGGGGAACTCGCCCGGAACGGTTGTGTGCGTCGTTGAACCCGAAAGATCCTTCGGTTAAAGAGGAGAAGAGACGGAGAGCGTCAGAGACAGGAGGACCAGAAGACGACCTTGCGTTCATCTGAAGAATGGGGAAGACGATGGCTCAGACGTTTTCCACACCGTTCACACGGGCCCTGCTTTGGGAGACACCCAGCCGACTGGCGTTTCAGCTGACAGCGTGCACCCTGTGCCGCGTTCTTTCGCAGGGTGCCTGACCTGTGTTTACTTAACCGTCGTGAGAACTCTGAAGAAAGTGTCGTCGTCATAGAGTTCGGGGACCTGGGGCCCACAGAGGTTAAGGGACTCAGCAGAGCTCGTGTAGCTAGTGAGTGTTGGAGCTGAGACTCAAAGAACGTGGTGAAAACGTGGCCCTGCCCATCAGGTTCTCCCAGTGGAGTAACTAAAGGCACGACGATGTCCGCGGTTGCAGAAACTCATTCCTTCATAGCTACATATGAGACCCTGGGCAGATCTCTGGACTACAGGAGTGTGTGAAAACACGTGACCTCGCTTTCCCTAAAATGATGATATGATAGAGTGACTTTTAGGGGTACTTTACATGAGGGGGTCTGGGATGGCTCTTGTTGAGGATAGCGCTAAGGCTTGAAAGTTGAGAAAAACCTCTTGTACGAAGAGTTGGCCGTAGAGCGTACTAAGGAGAGAATAGGAACTCTAAAGGTCCCGAAATGAGAGCAAGAGGAGAGTTGTCATGAGTTTACCAAGTGGGAACGATAGAGGTAATCACGTTATGAGTTGGATTGTGTCCCTCCAAAACCAATGAGAATTTTGTCTCAGGATGTGACTCTGTTCGGAAATAGGGCCTTTAAAGAGGAGATTAAGTTAAAATAGGCCGTTAAGGTATGTCCTATTCCAGTCCGACTGGTGTCCATCTAAGAAGGGGAAAGTTGGGTCCATAGGGAGACATCAGGCATGCAAATGCACAGAGGAAAGGCAGTGTGAAGACAAAGCGAGAAGGCCTCCGTTTGAAAGCCAAGGAGAGAGGCTTCAGAGACTCCAAACCTGCCTATGCTTTGATCTTTAGAACTGTGAGAAAATAAAGTTTTGTTGTTTAAGCCACCCAGTCTGTACTGTTTTGTTATGGCAGCCCTGGCAAACTAATACACCACATAATTAGCTATAGATTACAGTTGAAATAAGAGCCCTATGAGAAAACTCTGGGGTTCATGAGAGGATATAGCAAGGGCACCTAAACCATTCTGGCCCAGAGAAGGAAAGGACTCTTAAAGGTGTGACATTTAAGTGGAGATCTGAAAGGGGAGGAGTTAGCCTGGGGAGAGGCCTTCCATCATTCAGTTTTATGCTACCAAGACTCCCATACATCCTGGGAACACTTTTCATCTTGCAAAACTGAAACTCTACCTGTTAATAGCTCCCCATTTCCTCCTCCCCTGGCAACCATTATTCTATTTTCTGCCTCTGTGAATTTGACTTCTGTTCAGGATTTTGAAAGAAGTTCTGTGGAAGCAGAGGTGAGGAAGTGACCCAGTCTACTGCATGCAGCTAGGAAACAACTGAGATCTTGAAGGATGAGCACATATCTTGTCAGCTTAAGAGGAAAACAATTCCTGGTAGAAGTAAGAGCATATGTATGCCAGCTTAGGATGCTAGAAGCTCCGTACATTTCCTATGGACCTCTGTTGTTACCAGGGTACTTGCACACTGGTTCTGATTCATTTTCTTGAAACATTGGCTTCATGATGTCACTTTCCTGCTTCAAAATTTACAATAATTTATTGTCTGGGATATAAAGGTCAAATTCTTCAACCTACTACTACGTTTTTATTTGACAATGAAAATACTTCTAATTAAAACTAATCCCCATAGTCTCTTCTCACCCATCAAAATATAATAAATGAGAAGTGATTTAAGAGTAATGGTGTAATTTTAATTTTGAATTAAACTCCCTCTGAGGGAAGATAACTCCTTGCTCTCTCTATGCTACTGAATTGTAGAATACAGAGGATAAGTCTCACACTCAGTGGGTCAACCTGCTTTAGTTACACAGCCAAGGAAACATCATTTTGGGGGAGGAGATGTTTCTGTAGGTCTTCGCACATACAGGGGATTCTGAATCTTTTCTTAATGGAATTTCTTGGAAGTGTGAAAAGTTCAATTCTTTCCAATTACCAGGTCCATCAGGAAAAGGCCCCCTGAGTCTCCATTCTTGTAGCTGACCATATCTGAGGTTGTGCAGCCCAGTTCAGCAAGTCTAGTCATATGTATCTACTGAGCACTAGAAATGTGGCTAATGTGACTGAGGAACTGAATATTAATTTTAAATTTAAAAACTGTAGCAGTGTAAAATATTTTCCCATTATATAAATTTTATTGCTGTGGAAAGACTGTGTTTCACTTTGACCTTTGAAAATTTAGTATCTGAGTTGAGATGGGCCATAAGTTTAAAATATGTACCACAATTCAAAGACCTGGAAAAAAAAAAAGTAAAATATCTCTAATATTTTTTCATAGTGATTACATGTTGAAGTAACAGTAGTTTGGATGTACTGGCTTAAACAAAACCTAGCATTAAAATTGATGTGGATCAAGGCTGCCCCAGGGAGAGGAGCCCAAGGCATCCTGGCCTATTTGCAGATCTGTATGACCTGATTCATATCTAAAGTTATACAACCACACACTAGCTAGACCCCACCTGTACAGATACCATTTTAATGGCTTTTTACATGATCTTTCCTTTGTCTAGTAAAAATAACTCACATACCTATGACTTATAAATTTAGCCTTAACCCTCAACACATTGCAGCTCTTCACTGCCCATGTGTCCTGTCCCTGTGCTATTCTTTGACTAAAGAGCACTACCACCAGAACTTGAGAGTCCAAGATATGTTTCTTTTGATTCCTCAGCTCGCCGAGCCTAAATCATTTCTTCTGGTGGCCCATATCAGATCTTGCTTCACGGGCTTGTGAGCTTAAGTTCTGGTAAGTGCACTTTTCCTCTTTTTGTGCCTTCCCCTTTTTCGAGGATGGATCTAAATTCACTTCATCAGGAACCTTCTCAGACAGCTGTATGAATCCAAGCTTGCTGCCCATGGCTACTCTATGGGGCAAACCATGGCATTCTGCCCTAAGAGAATCAGTACCTTAAGCCTGAGGGTGATGAGGAATGAATGAATCCATTCCTTCCTACCCCTATCTTTAATATATAAATTTTACATGGGCATTGGTCGACCACTTCAGTCGTTAGGATGGTCACCAATCTCCAAGACTCCCGTGGCAGGTGTCTTTTCCTAAGGCTGGATTGGGATCCCTCCCTATGGCTCCTAACCACACTCCTAACTGTGGGAAAGTCCCAATCGGGACTCTGGTTCAAGAAAAGTACCAAACTCTAGCCTTTGGTTGTGTATGCGAACTCCTTGGGAGAATGGTTCCAGGATACAATTGGGTAGAATGTCCCCCAGACTGGTGGAAAATTCTTCACTGTTTTTCTCTATTCTTTTATCTCTGGGACCATTCACCAGGCACCTATTACTGCCAGGCATAATAGGGAAGATATACAAGGGATGCAATGCAGGGGTCGCCCCCATCATCCCTTGCTATAGGAAACCCACAGGCAGAACAATGGGTAGGATGCTGCCCTAGGTTCATGGGGGAATTTCAAGGTAATGGACCCTTTTCTTTCATCTCTCTTCTTTTGTCTTTTTGCTTCCTAGGACCATGAGAGCTTCTAATTCCATTCTTAAGGACTCACCTTTGGCTTGCCTTTTAAATAACTGGGCAAAATGTGATCTACAAGATCTAAAGAAAAAGAGACTTATTTTTACTGTAATACTGTTTGGCCTTAATATACTCTGAATGAGGAAAATGGCCCATGAGTGGCATCCTAAGTTTTAATACTATTTTTCAACTAGACTTATTTTGCTGCCACCTGGGAAAATGGTTTGAGATCCCTTATATTCAAGCGTTTATGGCCCTAAATCAAGATCCTGAACTCAGAGCGGTTTGTTGCATGTGTCTAGCTTCCCCTCCATCTGGGGTCCTCCTGCTTATGGCAGGGCCATGTGGGGTCCAATAGGACTGTCTGGGCATGCACTTGGAGTGGGAACAGTTGTAGGGCTTTATACCCTAAATCTGGGAACTAGTTCACTGGTGTCTGGTTTTTTTGTGTGTCTGTGTCCCTGTTGGTAAGTAGCTTAAAATTGGCAGTTTGGGGACTGAGTTTCTCAGTGATGGTAATAAACTATCTTTAGAAATTAGCTTGTTTGTTGTGGCCACCTTGGGAAAGGCCCCCTAAAAATGGAGATAACTATAAACAGCTGGCAAGATAACCCAGGGTAAAGTTACAGTGGATGTTTTGGGCTCCTTTTGAACTTTGCAACCAAGAAACGAAATCTTTATAGTCAAAGCCTCCACCCCTGGGAGCCCACACCCTCTGGTTTCTGTGCCTGAGCACTCTGGTGACCCC